AAAGAGAAACATCTATCAGTCATCTCCTACCTGGGAACTAAAGCCACATCCTAGATATGTGCCCTGACCAGGGGTCGAACACCCAAACTTTTGGAGTGCAGGCAGACACTCCAACCAACTGGGCCACCTAACTCCAGGCAGCAGTTGTTATTTCTGTTATTTATGAAGCGAGGAGTTGTTAGGTGATGAATGGCAGCATTGGCCTTGGGTCCACAGCTAAGAGCCCACTAATTTCCTTGAAATTAGTCCACTGTCTAATTTCAAGGAAAGCTGGCTAGTGAGGCCAGCCACCTTTCCAAAGGCATCATGAAAGGTGGCATTCAGAAGAACCAGGTGAAATGGGCCAGGATTTCCCCTTTGCCAAATTCCATAGAAGATGGAAACTCAAGAGTTGGTGTCAGTATGTAGACAAGATCCGGGTTTTAGCCTTGCAGGAGACCGTCACAACTCAGCACAATGAAGCACATGCTCAGAGAAGTACAGTATGATATTGTCAGCTACCAGGCAGCACAGAGATGCAGCTGAGTCTCACACAGACCACAGACTCTGCTGGAAGTGTGAGTTTTTCAACAGGGGTGGGCAGGGGGAGCTACCACTTGCTGTACATGAAGATGATGAACACAGGCTAGAACAGAAGTCATAGCCATTTGCCAAGATGATTTATTGAGCAGGGTACTGGTATTTCCCTTTTCTCTTTCACCCCATCAGCAGAGGAATAGACATTGTCATGAGGAAGGAAAGTAGAAGGTGTTGTGAAGACAGACTGTGTCTTTTTTTAAAAATATTTTATGGCTAAAGACATTTGGAAGACATATTAAATAAACAAAATGAGTTTTTTTAGTGCACTGCTTCTTGGAGCATTTAGTAATATGAAATCCCAAGAAAGGGAGTATTATGCACAATACACCCAAACTCACTTAGCGTGTGACCCTTTTTTGTTTCACGTCACAGTATAAAGGTCCAGCATGTTGCTGAACACCTTCTGAGAAATGTTAGATTGTCTGCACACAGTCAGAGGCAGGGGCGGAGGTGGAGGCTCATGGAAAACAGGGGTACATCTAGTTTATTCTACCCAGTGGTTAAATAACACCTGTATTTATTAAAAAAAAATAACTAGACCAGTATTTTCTCATCACAGCTGAAATGGCAGAACTATCAAAAGTTTGAAAGTCCTTTTATCTGTGTATAGGCTACAAATGTGTTAAGTCTTAAGCAGGTTGTCAAGTGTTTTAGTGACCTTGTTTTCCAGAACAAAACATTCCAGAGAAAATTTTTTCCTTTTTGAGCCTTTGACTGCCATGGAACAAGATAAACAGGTTTTATTACAAGAGAAAAAAAGTAACTTTCATTTGAAGAAGTAAACATTAAAAAAATTAAGCACTTTCATCACAAAAATGTTCAATTGTATTCTGAACTTCAATTTTATAAATGTATTCACATTTCTATTTACTTCCCACCAGCTCTTCCACCCCCTCTGTGAAATACACTCAGTTTTAAAGATTAAAAATTTTGTTCCTAGTCAGTTATTCCCTAACACACTCACATGTCTGCATTCTTTTAAATCTATCCTTTTAAAAAAATGCATCTGAGCTCACTGCTTACCCTCAAAGACTTCTGGAGTAAGAATCAGTTGTGCTGTAGCCTGGGCAAATATGGAATTAAAAGTGACCATTTGTTAATGACTGGATTCTGGAGATGGGAGAGTTCAAAATTGTGAAGCCTCTCTTTATACTGCCTTTGTTTAATTTACTTAAATTGGAGTTAAGACACACCTTGGTTGGAAAAACTCGAAGTGCAGCTGCAACAGTTAATTTGTTCTCATTTCCTGCACTTCTGGGATCAAATGGAAATGAAATTCTGTGTGCAATGCACACTTTTCAATCAGTTGCACTTTACTCCTTCTTCCCATCAAAACACGTAAAACTCTTCTCAAAGAAAGGAGTTACTGTTGGAAGTACAGATCTGATGGTACCCAAAATCAAATTAGTTTTTATCAATGCATGACATGTAGCTCTGAAAAATATCAGTGTGATTTTAATAAGTAGAATTAGGAATCCTAACAATTGTCAAGAATAATAAGCAGACCAGAACGGACATGTTGCACACATTGACCTTTGCACACCTTGACCTATGGTTTTCAGCTAAAAATACCATAGAATAAGGTGGGAGAACATACAACACATGGATGAGATCATTGTCAAGTGTCACATTTTGTCTTGGAGCAACTTTCAGCACCTCTCCTACTTAGCACCTCTGTTCTTCCACACAGTCTCAGTTACTAAATCATCTTAATAAACTCGGACATATTCCACACATGGCAATGGGCGGGTTTTCAGACACAGAGACCACCTTCCCATGGTTCCCAGTGGCACCATAATACACAGAAAGCCTCATCCAGTGGTGTAAATAGACATGGAAATTTGTTACATACCCTGTTTGTCGATTGTTATTTCTTGTGCGTGTTTTCTAAGTTTTATAACTTGCTATAGCAACAATACAAGTCATTTAATTGTCAGAAATAAACAAAATACCATCTGAAGGACAACACATGAAAAAGATAATCAATATCCAAATTGACTTGTTCTCTCAGCAATAATGGTGTTTTATTGACAATTTTAAAAAGCAGTAAAGAAAAAGCAAAATAGGATGTAATGAGCTGATACATTGAACAAGTGCAATAATAGTAGGTGACCATATGAAATTGTTGCTATTTCACCCTTTTTGCCATGTAAGAATGGCTGTTCCATATGGTTTGCTCTAATAACAAAGCACTTAGACCTTGGCAAAGCTGGCTTGCTGCTGCCCTTCCAGACTCCAAAGATAAAGATTTCACATGTTGATTAAGGAATTCCTGTAACTGCTTCATCTATGCCATGCAGAACTATGGTAACAGTGGTAAAAATGATAGGTACTATTTACAGAGTGTCTACTATGTGCAAGGAATTTTATATTGTATATTATATTTAATCATTATATACAACACATTGACCTATTCACTTGCTTGTAAAGCTCAAGGAGATTAAATTCACGGTGGGGCAAAAGTAGGTTTACAATTGTTCATAAGGAAAATAATACAATAATTAATAAATAATAACACAAGAATGAACTTTCACTTTTTTAATGTAATCTTTATTGTATTTTTTCTATTACCATTTAGTTCTCTTATACCCTCCTTTCTGAACCAATCACCATACTGTAGTCCATGTCCATGAGTCCTTTTTCCTTTTTGCTCAATCCTTCCACCTCCTAACCTCACCCCTGCTGCTAGCTGTCATCTGTTCTCCATCTATGAGTCTGTCTCTGTTCTCAATGTGAGTTCAGTTTCTTCATTAGATTCCACATGAGTGAAATCATATGGTATTTGCCTTTTTTTGACTGGCTTATTTCACTTAGAATAATCTCCTCCAGTTTCATGCATACTGTCAAAAAGGTAAAAATTATCTTCTTTTTGTAGGAATCCATTGTGTAACTACCTCATAGTTATTTATCCTCTCATCTATTGATGGACTGTAGGGATGCTTCCATATCTTGGTGATTATAAATAATACTGCAGTGAATATAGAGGTGCTCATGTTCTTTCGATTTAGTGATTTGGGTTCTTTGGATATATTCCCAGAAGTGGGATTACTGGGTCAAAAGGCAGGTTCATTTTTATTTTTTTGAGGCATCTCCATACTGCTTTCTACAGTGGCTACACCAGTCTGCATTCCTACCAACAGTGCAAAATAGTTCACCCTTTTCCATATCCTCACCAGCACTTGTTTGCTGATTTATTGATGTTAGCCATTCTGACAGGTGTGAAGTGATATCTTGCTGAGGTTTTAATTTGCATTTCTCAATGATTAGTGACATTGAGCATATTTTCATTTTTCTATTGACCACCTGTATGTCCTCTTTAGAGAAATGTCTATGCAAGTCTTTTGCCTATTTTTTAATTTAGTTGCTTATTTTTTAGATGTTGAGTTTTATAAATTCTTTATAAATTTTGGATATTAACCTCTTATCAGATGTATCAGCAAATATATTCTCTCATTCTTTGGGTTGTCTTTTTATTTTGCTGATGATTTCTTTTGCTGTTAAAAACTTTTTAGTTTGATGTAGTCTCATTTGCTTATTTTTATCTTTTGTTTCCCTTGCCTGGGGAGATATAGCCAATAAAATATTGCTATGAGCAATGTCCGAGATTTTGCTGCCTATGGTTTCTTCTAGGATTTTTATGGCTTCGGGTTTAATATTTATATCTTTGATTCATTTTGAATTAACACTTCTGAGTAGTGTTAGAAAGTGGTTTACTTTGATTTTGCTGCATATATTTGTCCATTTTTCCCGGCACCATTTATTGAATATACTATTTTTAACCCATTGTATATGCTTTCTTCCTCTGTCGAATATTAACTGACGAAAAAGCTGTGGTTTTATTTCTGGGCTATCCATTCTGTTCCATCGATCTATTGTGTCTGTTTTTATGCCAGTACCATGCTATTTTGATTATTATGGCCTTATAGTATAGTTTGATATTAGCTAGTATGATTCCTCCTACTTTGTTCTTTCTCAGAATTGCTATTGCTGTGTGGGGCCTTTTGAAGTTCCACATAAATTAACAAAATTTTTTTCTAGTTCTGTGAAATACGTTATTGGAATCTTGATAGCAATTGTGTTGAATCTATAGTATGGATGTATCAATGATGTTAATTGTTCCTATCCATGACACAGTATGTGCTTCCACTTATTTGTATCTTCTTCAATTTCTTTCTTAAGTGTCTTATAATTTTCCAAGTACAGCTCTTTTACATTCTTGATTAAGTTTGTTCCTAGGTATTTTAGTCTTTTGTTTTAATAAAAACAACCACATAGCATTTATTATCATCTAGTAATAATAAAAGGGTAATCAAAACAACATGAATAAATGTTCAAGGACTACCTGCAACAAAGAACACCAAAAAACACAAACTATTCTCAACGATTTCTCACTTCATTAGTCATTTCTAGTTGGAGACACTTTAGAGGAGAGTAATATTATTGCCTTTTAGCATGACCTGACCAAGTTGTTTTCTTGACTTTGTTTTAGAATGAGTCTCTTCTGCATCATCTAATACAAGGTTCATGCATGCATCAAAAACAATGATACAGCCCTTTATCTCCATATTCACTTGCTTATAAAGCCACACCTGAATCTGAGATCTGTTTTGCAAGTATCTGAAGATAAGGTTGATGGGCTGTATGATCACCTTCTGCATTTTTTGGCCCTGGCCATGGTGTGCCATGGTGGAAGCTAACCATGGCATGCCATGGCAAAAGACCACACTAACCCACATGCTACCTCAAAAAGCACTTCCGCAATCATTTTTATCTTTCTGAAGCAATCATGAATGGGATTGTTTTCTTATTTTTCCATTCTATTAGTTCATTCTATTAGCTTTATATAAAAATGCAACTGATTTCTGAATATTAATTTTATATCCTGCTACTTTGCTGAATTCATTTATTAGTTCTAGAAGTTTCTTGGTGGAATCTTTGGGGTTCTTTATGTATAGTATCATGTCATCTGCAAATAATAGCAGTTTTACTTCCTTTCCAATTTGGATGCCTTTTATTGATTCTTCTTGTGTGATTGCTGTGGCTACGACTTCTAGTACTATGCTGAATATGAGAAATGAAAGCAGGCATCCCTGTCTTGTTCCTGGTCTTTAGAGAAATACTTGTAGTTTTTGCCCATTGATTATGGCACTGGCAGTGGGTTTGTCATATATCATCTTTATTATGTTTATGTATGTTCCCTCTTTGTTTTATTATGTTTAGGTTTTGTTTCCACTTTGCTGAGAGTTTTTATCAAAATTGTATGCTGGATTTTATCAAGTGCTTTTTCTGCATCCATTGATATGATCGTGTAGTTTTTATCCTTCATTTTATTTACGTGGTGAATCACATCACTGATTTGAAAATGTACCAACATTGCAGTCCCAGAATAAATCAATCATGGTGTATGATCTTTTTAATGCATCGTTCTACTTAGTTTGCTAATATTTTGCTGAGGATTCTAGCATCTGTGTTCATCAAAAATATTATCCTATAATTTTCTTCCTTTGTAGTGTCTTCTGCTGGTTTTGGAATTAGGGTAATACTGGCCGTGCAAAATGAGTTTGGGAGCCTTCCCTACTCTTGAATTATATGAAACAGTTTGAGAAGGAGAGGTGTTCTCAGAATATTTGGTGAAATTCACTTGTGAAGACATTCAGTCCAGTGCTTTTGTTTGTTGGGAGTTTTGTGATTACTGCTTCAGTTTCATTAGGTGTAATCTGTCTATTCGGATTCTCTGATTCTTCCTAATTTAGTTTTGGAAGACTGTATGTTTCTTGGAATATATTAATTTCATCCAGGTTATCCAGTTTGTTGGTATATAGTTAGTTATTCACAATATTTTCCTACAATCCTTTGTGTTTATTTGGTGTCAGTAGTTATTTCTCCTCTTTTATTTCTAATTTTATTTATTTGGGTCCTTTCTTTTTTTCCTGATGAGTCTGGTTAAAGGTTTGTCAATGTTATTTATCTATTTATAGAACCAGCTCTTGGATTCATTGATCTTTTGTATCTGTTTTTAAGCTCTATTTCATTTATTTCTTCTCTGATCTTTATTATTTTCTTCCTTCTACTCACTTTGGACTTTATTGTTCTTTTCAAGTTCCTTTAAGTATGAAGTTAAATGTTTATTTGAGCTTTTTCTTATTTTTTGAGATAGGGCGGTAATGCTATGAATTTCCCTCTTAAGATTGCTTTCCCAGTGCCCCAAAGATTTTTGATTATTATGTGCTCATTTTCATTTGTTTCAAGGTATCTTTTGGTTTCTTTCTTGATCTTCTTGGTGACCCATTCATGGTTTCATAACATGTTGTTTAGCTTCCATATCCTTGCATATTTTTCAGTGTTCTTGTGATTGATGTCTAGTTTCATAGCATTTGGTTAGAGAAGATGCTTGATATAATTTCAATCTTCTTAAATTTATTGAGACTTGTTTTATGTCCTAACATGTGGTCTATCCTAGAAAACTGTCCTGTGCCCTTGAAAATTATATGTATTCTGCTGCTTTGGGGTGAAATGCCTGGAGATGTCAATTAAAACCATTTGATATAGTGTGTCCTTCAAGGCTGCTGTCTCCTTGTTGGTTTTATTCCTGGAAGATCTATCTATTGAAGTCAATGGAGAGTTAAAATCCCTGACTATGACTGTATTTTTGTCAATCTCTCCATTTATGTCTATCAAGATTTGCTTTACATATTTAGGTGTTCCTATGTTGGGTGTGTTGTAAATATTTACTATAGTTATATCCTCTTGTTGGATTGATCCCTTTATCATCATGTAGTGTCATTTGTCTCTTATGATAGCTTTGGTTTTAAAGTCTATTTTGTCAGACATAAGTATTGTTACCATAGCTTTTTTTCTTTTCCATTTGCATGAAATATCTTTTTCCATATCTTTACTTTTATTTTTTAATGTATTTTATTGATTATGCTATTACAATTGCCCCATTTCCTCCCTTCATTCCCCTTCATCCTCCTACCCACATTCCCTCACTTTAGTTCATGTCCATGTCTCATAAGTTCTTTAGCTTCTACATTTCCAATACTATTTTTGCCCTCCCCCTATCTATTTTCTACCTACCATCTATGCTGTTTATTATCTGTACCTTTTCCCCCCTCTCTCCTCCTTCCACTCTCCTGTTGATAACCCTCCATGTGATCTCCATTTCTGTGGTTCCATTTCTGTTCTAGCTGTTTGCTTTTGTTTTAGGTGTGGTTGTTAATAACTGTGAATTTGCTGTCTTTTTACTATTCATATTTTTATCTTCTTTTTCTTAGATAAGTCCCTTTAACTTTTCATAAAATAAGAGCTTGGTGATGACGAACTTCTTTAACTTGACCTTATCTGAGAAGCACTTTATTTGCCCTTCCATTCTAAATGAAAGCTTTGCTGGATAGAGCAATCTTGGATGTAGGTCCTTGTTTTTCATAACTTGGAATCCTTCTGTCCAGCCCCTTCTTACCTGTAAGGTCTCTTGAGAAATCAGCTGACAGTCTGATGGGAACTCCTCTGTAGGTCCCCTCTGTCCCCTTATCTCTTGCTGCTTGTAGAATTCTCTCCTTCATTTAAACCTTGGGTAATGTATAAGATGATGTGCCTTGGTGTGTTCCTCCTTGGGTTCACCTTCTTTGGAACTCTCTGAGCTTCCTGGATTTCCTGGAAGTCTATTTCCTTTGCCAAATTGGGGAATTTTTCTTTTATTATTTGTTCAAATAAGTTTTCCACTTGTCACTCTTCCCCTTCTTCTTCTAATACCCCTATAATTTGGATGTTGGAGCGTTCAAAGATGTCCTGGAGGTTCCTAAACCTCTCCTCATTTTTTGAATTGTTTCTTTATTCTTTTCTGATTGCTTGTTTCTTTCTTCCTTCTGGTCCACTCCATTGATTTGAGTTCCATTTTTTTCCCCCATCACTATTGGTTCCCTGTGCATTTCCCTTCATTGCATTTAGTGTAGCCTTCATTTTTTCATCTAATTTGTGACCAAAATCAACCAATTCTGTGAGCATCTTGATCAGCAGTGCTTTGAACTGTGGAACTGTGCATCTCATAGGTTGGCTATCTCTTGGTCGCTTAGATGTATTGGCTCTGGGACTTTGATCTGTTCTTCCTTTTGAACCATTTTTTTGGTTTGGTCACACCTGTTACATAGTGAGGGGTAGAGCCTTAGGTATTCACCAGGGCAGGGCAAACCCCCACCACCTGTCTCTGGGTTGTGACATTGTATGTGGGGGTAGGATCAGAGAGGGAACAATGGCACTTGCACCACTCTCTCAGATTTCAGTCCCTTCCGCCATTTCCCACAAGCAAATTGGGCCTTTCTGGTGCTGATTCCCAGGTGGGTGGGTTTGTCTACGTTCTAGGACCTTGTGAGTCTCTCCAACGAACTCTCCTGTGAGGCTGGGAGTCTCTCCTGGCACCTCAACCCCTACAAGTGTTTTCAGTCAGAGCTTTTAGGCTATATTTCCCAGCACTGGGGGCCTGGGTTGTGTCGTCTGTCTCACTGCCCATTTTCGCCTGATTTATCTGCACATGAATGTGTGACCGAGGTCAGCCAGCTGCTTTGTGTGCCTCACTGGATCTGCTCATTTCCACCCTGCACCTGGGGTCTGCCAGCCACAACTTTTTCCTGCCTGGGCCTCTCTCTGCTGGCCACTGACTCCACCCCTCTTATGGTCTGGATGACCAGTTGTTGGACTTCCATACAGTTCAATTTCTTTATCAGTTCTGTTTTTTTTGTTCTAAATTTTCGTTGTCCTTAATTTTGGTTGTGCGAAGAGACACAGTGTGTGTCTCTTGGCCAGAAGTCTCCATCTTGGCCAGAAGTCTCTATCCCTTTACTTTCAGTCTATGTGTACCTCTCAATCTAAGATTGGTCTCTTGGAGGCAGCATATGTTTGGGTCTTGTTTTCTTATCCATTCAGCTACCCTCTGTTTTTTAGTTGAAGCACTTAAGCTAATTACATTTAAGGTGATTATTGATAGATACATATATGTAGTGCCATTTTATTGTTAGACTGTATTCCTTCGTGTTTTTTTTTGTTTTTGTTTTTTTGTTTTGTTTCTTTCTCTTTTTCTTCTTCTTCTTAAAGCAAGACCTTTAACATTTGTTGGATTACTAGTTTGGTATTAACAAACTCCTTTAGCTTTTTCTTGTCTGGGAAGCTTCTTATTTTTGCTTTGAATTAATTGATAGCTTTACTCGGTAAAGTAGCCTTTGTTGTAGCTCCTTGCTTTTCATCACCTTGAATAGTTCACACCATTTTCTTCTGGCCTGAAATGCTTCTGTTGGGAAATCAGATGACAGTGTAATTGGTGCTCCCTTCTGTGTAACTACTTGCTTTTTTTTCTTGGGGCTTTTAGGATCTTCCCCTTGTCTTTAAGCCTTGTCATTTAATTATGATATGTTTCAGTATAGGCCTCTTTGGGTCTAACTTGTTTGGGACTCTCTGAGCTTCCTGGACTTGTGTATCTTTTTCCTTTGCCAGATTAGGGAAGTTTTAGGTCATTCCCTTGCTCACTCACTTCTTTTTCTGGTATTCCCATGATATGAATGTTGTTGCACTTTGTGCTGTCCAAATTGTTTCTTAAGCTCTCCTCATTTTTTGAAGTTCTTCTTTTTTTTTTTTTTGATGCTCCACCTAGGTGTTTTTTTCTGCCTTGTCTTCCAAAACACTGATTTGTCCTCTG